TTCTTGTATGATTTTACTGATGCTGCATATTTTGAATATTCACACCATTTAAGTTTGATCAAGAAGCTGAATTTGCAGGTGGTGATTTTTAGTTCAGAAAATAAATGAGAAGTGGAGGACGATGAAGCAACGCTGTGGTTTTACTATCATTGTTGTGTACTGGATGTTTAAAAACGATCTGTCTGCACCTGTAGTTATTAGAAATATAACATAGAACAATAAAACATTAAGAAAGTTATCATACTTGTTAAAGAGCAGTCTGCAGAAAGACAGGCTCAGTGACACCGTGAAGGTTAAAGCTGGTTTGAAATGACTGACACACTGAGACGTGAATGTTTGCTGAGCGAAGCTTTAATCAGAGAAGATTTCATCAGGCTATAAAGACACACATGATGTAAAAACATCTATTCTCCATTAAAATGATGTAAATACAGACTGCAGTTTTCTATCAACTTTCTCTTCAGTTAACATGGACGTTACAGGTTCAGTTCCAGGTGTCACTCAAAGTGAAGCTGCAAACATTCAAAATAAAAGCACAACAAACACATCAAAAGTAACACTTCACAACAGTTTTCCTAATAAATGGTAAATTGATGGATGATTAACTTTTAGTAAATAATCTACTGTTAACAAAACAAATTATGTTTGATAATGTTTACTAATCATGTGTAATGTTGAAGGTGATTCTTATGTATGTACTTAGTTTCTAGTTGCTTGCTCTAATCCTCGGGGATTCAAATAAACATGAACAGTGAGTGAAAAAACACATAAATGGTGCTCTCCAGGTTCACTGGGATTTATGGCTCTTCCTGTTTAAGCAGTAAAATTCAATTCGATTCGAGTCATTCCATATAAATTTGTTACAGTCAAATCAGTTTCAGCACGATTATCGTCAGAGGTTTTAGGGCAATTCCCTTTAAACTGAGCTGCATTATTTTAAAAATGAGAATAAAAACAGCGATTTATGGTTTGTATCAGTTAGCAAAGATAAATAAATACCTAGCTGGATTGTAAATGACTGAGTCATCACTCAGACAGTAAATTCCATGTTAGAGAAAGAAAGTGAACGAGTGGAGACTTCGGCTTCTAAAACATTTGTTTATTCACTTATTTTTTTTTAATGTTCCTTCTTGCATAAATGAGTTGCTGCATTATGAGATACAGTTTGGGTCAATCTGATTACTACTGAAGCATTTGATGCAATGGAAATGACCATTATCAGGCTTGTAACAGCGAAATATGTTTTCGCGACCAATGGAGTTCCCAATATTTCTCAGGGCCACACTAATCCTGTTTGAATTAATGTTCCCCCCATGTGGCTTGAATAAAGCATTAAACACAAACGCCTTTTCACCCCACTCATGTCCATTAAAGAGACATCTGAGCCTATCAGTGATCCTGAAGTTTCCATTAGGATTTGCACACTTTTCATAACATGGAGTGGCACGAGAGAAGAAGACCAACAAATCACCATCGTTATCTACAAGACTTTGCAGATTCTGCAGAACACGCCACTCAGCATGTTCAGTATATTGAATTCCTTGCTCAGTGGTTACACGTTTTATTTGGGCTACCACAAGTCTAGGAGTGCTGAGGATGCCGTCATTCCATTGTGTCTGTTGGTTTGGCATCACCCTTCTCAGGTCATAAGAGATTCTGTTTCCATCCTTCGGAATCCTTGCAGCCACAGCATACATTGGTTTTATGTCGTACCTGTCACAAAAAAGAAACACACACACATTAACATTGTTTATAGAGAGCTTTGTGCCAGCTGGTAAAGATGGCTAACATAAATGTCAGATGTATGTTGTTACATGTACACTGTTGTTGTTGACAGCCATATTATGGGGAATTCCCTTCACATAAAGAACAATAAAACAAGAATTAAGTGATACAAAGTTACGATATAAATATATCATAATAATAATAATATCATTATTTTCAGTCCAGAAAGACGGGGTGCTAAACGTCCCCAGAAACAAAGCCAGACTGGATGGAGGTGTAGTCCTCTCTACATCTCTGCTCTCTTATATCAGCTTTATTTATGTAGAACTTTACATACAAGAGAAAGCAGAGTGAAAAGACAACGAGCAGCAGGAAATAAGAACTGAGAGGATAAATAAATTATCAGAGCAACAATAATTACAGAGACACATCATTATATGCAACAAGGTGATAAACTGTATAAAGAAATCTGTAGGAGCATTGTTTTTAGTTATTGTATGGAGGATGTAAGGAAATCATTACAGATGCTTCCTCTATATTTTGATTGTATCTTAGTCAGTTTTCCAAATTCACAAAATCATGTCCATTATTTTCTAAAAAAGTCTAGTTCTTTATTTTTAATTTATTTTGAACTAGTTTTTTCACACCTAGTTTTAGATTTTAGTTTAGTTTTCACTATAATAACTGCCTGTAACCATATGTCAACACCTTATTACATAGCTAAGCCCTGTTGAGCTTACCAAACAGCCCTGACTGCACATGAAAACAAGTAATAAAAAAATATTTAATTTCAGAGACTTTAGATGATGCTGACTTACCCGTTTCGGATATTTGTCCTTATCTGATTTGCAAGTCCTGCGAGCTGTTCTAAGTCTATTTCAGCCAGACTTCCAGCAGGCAGACAGAAGATCATCGTCACAGTGATCCACCAGAGACCAGCCATCTGCACTCAGAGTTTCATAACAGAGCAGAGTTATTGACATCTACACAGGCTGTTTCTCACATCAGCTTTTCTTCACTCATTCAGTAATCTGTATACACCATCAGTAGTTCATTTATCATTACACAGCCTTCTCCGTTTAAGTGTAAATATGGCTTTAAAGTAAAAAATTCCTCCTCTTCCTCAGGACCTCCACAAACCCCTCACTCAGCTTGTCAGCACATTCAAACCCAGAGCTTTTTGTTGTGGAGCATAAATACATTTAACTGGATGTTACCAAAACATCTTCCACTGAGTGATTTAAGATCAGCTGACCCTGATTTGCATGAACAGGTGTCCACATCTGGAGCTGAATGTGAGAGACTTAAAATGTCAGACCTCAGGTGTTTAAATAGAATTTAAGACTTTTTGAATAAAACTCAAATGTGGTTACAACTCTGCTGTTTTGGTGTCCCCAAAATGTCTGATTCAGTTTTAGTAGAGAACCGGTGTTTGAACACTATTGCCAAATGTCCTTAAACCAGAGTAAAACCATGTAAAACCACTATTTATAGTAAACCAAATACATTTTTCTTAAGTGTTTCTTACCTGCAGTCAGGTGAGTTGTTCGTCTGTTTTTAAACCTTTTTTTAATCGTTCGTAAAACAGACGCTTATTTCAGGACAGGATTTTTCAGATATCTGTTTCTCACAGGCAAAGTCACATCTGAGACACCTCTGTTTGTGTCTGACCAATATATCCTAATCTTAAGAGCCAATCACAGTGCAGCATCCATCCAGCGGGTGTAACTTAACATAATTACTTATTGCAAAGCAGGCTGATGTGATCGTGGCTAAAGCACTCCAACAAAGGGCACAAAAGTGTTTCTAGGAAGAAAAAAGAGGAAGACATGAGTCATGAGAAAAAGGAGGTGGAGAAGGAGGGGCCTCCTCCTGCTGCTGCTGATGCAGAGACAGGACATGCCTCAGGTAAAAACTCCTGTCGATTCATAAAGAAGTTATTTAGAGAAATCCCAACAAATACATCACCCTGTAACATGAAATCATGCATGCTGTGCTCATGTCATTTGATCCATACAATTCTCATTATACCATACAAACACTTTACAAACATCCAGACAGGAGATTTGCACAGGAGGATGTCCAAATTGAGGCACTTCAAATATTTCCATCTCAACAGTAATGATGAGGGGACGCTCTACATACTTCAAGATTCCCAATAAATGTACGTCAGTGCTAAAGCTTAGCACAAATACAGTCCCGATCAAAAGTTTAAGACCACTTGACAAAATGACAAAAAATCCTATTTTGCATGGTTGGAACTTAACAAGGTTCCAAGTAGAGCTTCAGTATGCAACAAGAAGAAATGGGAGCGAGACAAAACATTTTTTGAGCATGCAATTTATTGAAAACAACGCTTAAACTGAAACAGGTTGTTTTACAGCTGATCAGAAGTTTAGGACCACACCTGCAAAAAATATGGGTCAACCCCCAAAACAGAAATCAAAATTCATCAGTAGCTCCACCGTTATTGTTAATCACTTCACAAATTCGTTGCGGCATGCTTGATGCAAGTGTTTCCATGAGGTGAGTGGAAAGATTTCTCCTGTTGTCTATTTTTGTAAACATCCCTTGCTATCCATCCACAAAGGTTCTCAACTGGATTTAGATCAGGGGAACACGCAGGATGGTCCAAAAGAGTGATTCTCCTGGAAGAAGTCCCTTGTCCTACAGCATTGTGTACTGTAGCGTTGTCCTGTTAATAAACCCAGTCGTTACCACACAGATTCAATTCAATTCAATTCAATTCAATTTTATTTATATAGCGCCAAATCACAACAAAAGTCGCCTCAAGG